GGCGACTAGCCGTGGGGCTGCTAGCCATGCCTGTGTTACTGCCCGCAGAGGCTACTAGCCATGGGTGTATTATCCATTGGTGGCTAATAGCCACAGAAACCACTAACCATGGGGGTGCGCCCCATGGGGGGCTGCTAGCTGTGGGGGTTACTACCTGTGGGGCTAGTAGCACGGGCACAGCTAGCCACGAGAGCTGTTAGCCCCCGCTCTTTGCAGGCGTGTGTGGCCCGTGGGAGCACCGGGACCCGCTTCGCCACCCCGAGCATCCCGGGGCTGCGCCTGCCAGGGTCTCCCCGGGGTCTCTGCATCTTCCCACACACGTGGGAGCCGCTTTGTTGCTGTCAGGGGCTGGGGGATGCGGCTGCTCCTCTGCTGCTGGAGCGAGGGGGTCCCGCACCTTGGCCGCGGTGTGAACTTGACCGAGGCCAGGGCCGCCCGCTCGAGGGGCAGCTTTGTCTGGGCTCAGGGAGGAAGGTTTGTCCTCCCCGGATGGCTCCTGAAAGGAAAAAGGTTTTTTTTTCCAGCTGAAGAGCTGATGTAGCCCGGTGGATCGGCCGGCTGCGGGCAGGCAGGTAAAGGTGGGCGCCAGGATGGTGCGGGCACATGGGGAAATGGTAGCACGGCTCTCCCCCGTTCGCACGTCACCCGGGTCGCCGATGGCTGGGAGCAAGCCGGGGGGATGGCAGGGGCGGCTCTGCGGGGAAGGCTGGAAGATGTTTCCCAAGGAACCACTGAAGGGCCTCAGCCGAGCTGCCCCTGCGGCCGCCGTGGGGACATGGCACGGTGGCTGTGCACAAGGCTCGGCGCTCACCTCCGTGGATGCCCACGCTGCCACCGGCAGCAGCTGCGGTGGGGTTCAGGGTGGGCTCTGTGGGGCTCTCCGGGCAGATTTTCTGAGTTGGAAAGCAAGGAGCCTGCCCTCAGAGCAAGGTGGAGGGGTAAAACATCGAGGCAGCGGCTTTACTCCAGCCCAAGCTGGGATTAGGGCACCCAAGTTGTGGTGGGCATCGCGAAGGCTGTGGCTGTGAGGCAGGGGCTGCCGGGCGGCAGAGATGCTCGGAGCATCTTCCCCCCTGCCACGCCAACTCTTGCAGGGCTCCCTGTGATATCTGAAGGCAACAGGAGAATTTACGACGTGCATTTTGATTTACGACATGCATTTTAACCCCGTGACCAGTGGCCAGAGCGCGTGCCGGGGTGGGCGGGGGGCTCGCCGCGCCGGCAGGAGCCGTGCTGCTGTCACAGCCTGCGCTTCCTCCCTCCGCGCCGCTCGGCGCTCACCGGCTGAGCGATCACATGAGCCCCTTGTTCGGAGCCTTTGTCTCTCATCTCCGACGCCGAGGAGCTGCGTTTCGGGAAGCCTCTGCAACCTCTGGCCATAGACCATGCGGAGATGATCAAATAGGATTATTTGTCCCATTTATCCTCCCAGGGTGGGTTTGTAAAAGTCTTCTGTGCTTGGCGATATGTATAAACCCCCTGGTTCGTTTGAGGGAGATGAGCTGTATTCATTATTAACTGAATCAGCACCAGTGGCTGCTCTGGGTGACCGGTAGCTGCAAGCCCTCCCGTTCACCTCATTGCCATCAGCCCCATGAAAGGACTTTTCCTGGGTCCCCGTTCTCCGCAGGGGCTGGAGCGAGGGAGTTTGGTGCCAGCAGGTTTTCAGGGAGACTGAACCTGTGGCAGGAAAACCCTTCAAAAAGTGATGCCGAATTTGCGGTGGCTCTGAGATTCAGGTTTGCAGGGCAGGGTTTGCACCGACACTGGGGGAGTCACATCTCTGGTGGCCACCTAGGGTCCCTGGGGACGGGGACAATGGCAGGTCAGCAGCACCCGGGTCAGAGCATCGTGCTCAGGGTTGCAGAACGAAGGGTCCTGGAGGATGAAAAGTGTTGGACGTCATCCCGCGGGAGGTGACAAATAACAGCAAAATGATACAGGTGCCCCCAGCTCCCTGAAAACCAGGGCCTGGGCTGAGCGTACGGCGATTCTACGGTGCTGCCGTCATGTCCGCTGCCGAAAGCACACCCGCGTTGAACAGCTTTGCCCTGGTGGGACGTCGGCAGGGCCGCGAGCCGGGCACAGGCATGCTCAGGCGCGCTGGCTGCAATGAGGTGCACCCTCACCAGACCTGCCCGTTAGTATCCGCTCAAGAGGCATTTTCCCAGGTTTTCCAGACAAAAATCAGCTTAAAACGCATCTTTGGGGTACCGCCTGCCACTGGGAAATGGAGAGCAGCATCAGACAGCGCATCCGAGATGGAGAGGAGGGAGGTTTCAGCACAAGCTGTGACATGCGAAGGAGCCGCTGGGTTTGACGCTGGAGCACTGGGAGCTCTCTGCCCCGGGGAGCCAGCAGCCCTGCTGCCGTGCTGCCGAGCAAGAATTTCCTGGTTTCTTGAAAAATGGACTTGAAAAAAATTGCCTGTGCTCCTGCTGAGCTCTTGGTGCAGCGGGCACGGGCATCCTGCTCCCTTATGGCCTCATCTGGAGGCCACCAGAGACCAGCGGTCCCTGGGGGACCGTCAGCAGGCCCTGGGGAAGGTGGGGGCATCAAGGATTGACCTGGAGGCAGCATCTCCAGCGGGGAAGCGGGGACCTGGGGGTGATTCGCTCCAGTCTCAAGGACTTGTGCTACGAAGAAACCCTCCAGCAGCGCCGAAGCTCCACGGCTTCAGGGCAGCCACCGAAACGTGGCGGTGCCACACGGACGCTGCACAAGGGGCTGAGCAGGAAGACGCAGACCTGCCTCGATACTTTGAATGCTTTCTCCCTTGAGAAAAGGAGAAAGTCTCATATTCCTGAGACTTTTTTTCCCAGCAAAACTGCATTTCCCCCTCCTGATAAAACAAAGCTCCATCAAAGCTGCCATGAACTTTCTGCGCAGTGTTTACCCTGCCCCGGCCGTGCCACTTCGTGCAGACCGAGCAAACCAACCCCTCCACCAGGGCTGAATTTCCCCTCCCAGGACACGGTCAGCCCCGGCGCTGCCCCAAACCCCCCCTCTGGGGCCGACCCCCCTCCAGCCAGTCCTGGCCTTGGCACAGGTTGCATCCCGCAGCACCGGCAGAAGCCGCCAAACTGAGAAAGCAACAACAAAAAAGAAAAGCAGTGCAACCCCCAAACAAAGCTGCAAGCCTGGGGGTGGCCAGAGAAATAATCCCACATGGATTTTCCCCCCCCCACTCTGATTTATTGCCCACTGGGTTGCAGTCCCAGCGACGCCGGTTGCTGCAGTAACAGCCGCTCAGCTCGCCTTCACCAGGCTAAAGCCCCGCTGTGCGCAGCCGGCCGGGAGCAGCGCTGGATGGGAAAAACTGGGAAAATGCCTCTTGAGCAGATGCTAACGGGCAGCTCCGGCGAGGCCAGGGGGGACAGAGGTGGCTGATCCCCAGGGACACTTGTCTTGGGAGTCATTGAGCTCTTGGGGAAACATTAACCTTCTGACCAACTGCAGATGTACATGTTGCAGCCACTCTGCAGCCCCAGTGCTGCTATTATTATTATTATTATTATTATTATTATTATTATTATTATTATTATTATTATTATTATTATTATTGTTTTCTTTTTAACTTTGACGTTAAGACACTATTGAGAAGTCTCCCAAAGTGAGGGACTTTTCGGATGTTTTTTACTGAGGGTTAGTATTTGGCTTTTGCATGTCGAAGCCTCGTGCCGAGGCTCCATGAGGCCAGGTCAGTTTCATTTTGGGGACCGTCTGATGTAGGGTGTGTGAGGGAGCCACCCCCACACGCCCATCAGCTGGGCATCAGGCCCTGCTGCCGATGCTCCTGGTCACACAATGGGACCTGCTGCTCCTTTTGGCTGGAAAACCCTTCGAAACTGCGGGTGGGGGGAGCACCCAGCGAGACCCTCGGCCCGGACAGTCGTGGCCAGGAGCAAGGGAGGCTGGAGCAGCTCCTGCAGTCCCTACTTCGATGGTGCCGGAGCTGCATCACCTTGGCAGGGACGGGGGTCCTGTGGGTTTGGGGGGGATTTTTGAGTATCGATGCTGTAGGCTGGACCTTACCACGAAGCGGGAGTCTGGCGATGCATGGGGCAGATGGCAGCTTGGGGGGGGACCTTTTGGGGGGGGTCGTGGACCACCCCTGGGACAGGAGAAGCGGGAAGGGTTGGCGACGACTCTGGCTTCAAAGCCCGGCCCAGGGCGAAGTGCTGCATTTGCAGCGTGTCCCTCCTGCAGAGATGCTGCAAAGCTCCTGTGAAGCCATGACCAGCTTGGCCCAGGAGGTCCCCAGGCGGGAGGGTCGGTCCCACAGCCACAGGGCGCCGAGGAGGAGGAGGAGGAGGCAGTCGACATGGCTCCATGCTGGGCTTTAACCTCTTGCTCTTGCACTCGGTGTAGCATCAACAGGAGAAGACGCTGTCGGCGGCGCGCACCTCATCCCGTGCCCACCACTGGCCAGGCCATGAAGATGGAGAAGGATGAGGCAGTGCCCACCTTCTCCCTGGGGGGTAAATACGCCGGAGAGGGGGCAGGTGAGTCCCTCGTGCCACGGGGGGGTTGGCGAGAGGAGTCGGGGCAGGACGTGGAGGAGAAGCCTTTGCTCCTGTTGATGTGAGGTCCCTTTGGCCAAATCCCACCCCAGAGGGGGAGCACCCTGAGGGGAGGTGGGGGGGGTGGGGGTATGCATGTGGCATCACCCAGCGTGTTCAAGACACCAGCAGGCTTTGCCTTCATACCAGCAGCTTTTTCTAGAGCAAAGCCCCTCCCGTCTCTAACCACCCTGGAGGGCTCCTGCCTCTCTGGTCCCTTCCAAGCCAGACCCCCCCCCCCAGTTGCCTGCACCCCTGTTTGTAAAGGGTAGGAAGGAGGGCACAGAGGGACGTGGTTTAGGCAGGGGCTGAGGTTTGGTGCTGCCTGCGCTGCCCGCTCTGCCCGTGGCAGCTGGTGCCCGCTGCCTAACAGCCTCATCCCGGCAGGTTGCAGCGAAGCGGCTCTGCCTGGTGGCCCGATGCCGGTGGCGGGGAGCGGAGGGACCCCAGCCCAGGACCTGCGGTCACTGAAGCGCAGACCTGTCCCAGGTGAGCTGAGCCCCAGCCCTGCCCCAGGGAGGTGACAGCAACGGGCTGGGGCAGGGACGAGGCCAATGGATCTGTCTCCTTCCAGGCAAGCACTACCAGTGCTCAAGCTATGGCTGCAAACTGGCCTTCCCCAGCATGCAGGAGCTGATGGACCACCTGAAGGTCCACTACAGACCCACGCAGTCCCTCGAGGGTAAGGCCAGGACACTCTGCGTCGCTCCATGGTGCCCTTTTTTGGCTGGGAGGTGGTAAAGCAGGGCTTGAAGCTGAGGCAGCACTGGTGGGGGTGCCTGTGCCTCCGGGAGGTGCTGCACAGCACTGGACGGGAGTGGGGAGAGCATGGGAGGTGCTGGAGACCCACTGGTGGGGCTGCCCCCAGCCCCAGGGGGTGCAGCGCAGCCGGGCTGTTGCTGAATTTCTGCCCTATTTCTTTGCTCAGGCAAAACCTTCCAGTGCCCCACACTGGGCTGCACAGAGACCTTCCCCAGCATGCAGGACCTCATGGCCCACATGAAGGTGCACTACAAGCCAAACCGCTACTTCAAGTGAGTCCCGCTGGTCCCCGTCCCCATCCCATGCCGCCCTGCCATGTCCCTGCAGACCCCTCCTGCAGTGTCCTATCTGGGAGCACCCGGCAGCTCCCAAACAGCCCCGAGCACAGGGGCTCCCCCCTTTGCAGACCCCCCCATCTCAGCGGCAGACCCCGGGGCCGGGGTGCGGGGGGGTGATGCAGAGGGGAGCGCTGCTGCTGACGTCACCTCCCCGGCCCCGCAGGTGTGAGAACTGCATGCTGCGCTTCCGGACGCACCGCTCCCTCTTCAAGCACCTGCACGTCTGCTCCGACAGCGCCAGCAGCCCCGCGCCGCCCCCCAAAGCCGACAAGCCCGTCCTGCCTGCTACCTCTGCCCTGGAGAAGGAGCCCCCGGCCAAGCCACCCGAGGGGCTGCCCAAGCTCCGGCCCCCGGAGAAAGAAGCCATCCTCCCCGGCGCGGACATTGCCCCGGCAGCCCCTGCCGCGCTCCCCACCAGCCTCCCCGAGCTGCCTGGCTCGCTGGAGGCGCTGCCGCTGGGCTCGCCGGCCCCCCACCCCTTCCCGCTGTTGGAGCCCAGCCTTTTCGGGCCGTCGTCCTTGACTCGGTTCTCGGGGCCACCCCCCTCCTCGGTGCCAGGGCCGTTCCTGTCCTACGTGCACCCTTCGCCCTACAGCTTGCCCCAGCCCCCGGCGCAGCATCGCCTCCGGCCCTACGTGCCGGGCCACGGTCCCCCCGTCTCCAACGCCGTCTGGAAGAAAAGCCAAGGTGAGCGCGCGGGGCCGTTTGGGCAAACCTTCTTCTGCTCCTGCCTTGACCAGCAGCTCCCGGAGGAGGACCCGCCGTTGGCCAGCTGAGGATCCCCCTCCTCCTGGCCCCACACAGGGCCACCCTGGCCCCCCCCCAGCCCCATCCCACCTCCAACACCCCACTCCATCCCACCCACGGGGATGCTCGATTGGAGAAAGCACCAGCAACCACCAAAAAAAACCAAGCCTCTAAATTTTCCCGGCCCTGCTGCTCCCCGGCGTGCTGGGGGTGCGAGGCGGGGGGCCGGGCCAGGCCTGCCCCCCCACGTCCCCCCCCCAGGGAGGGGAAGACCTAATGCTTGTCTTGCCCCTCGATTCCCTCCGCAGGTGTGAGTGTCAGCCCACTCCTCCCATGCTTTGGCTCAGGAGTGACTCCAGGTTAGTTTGGCACCTACTGGTTGGGGGGTGCTTTCTGTCACTGGGGGGGTGGTGGGCGGTGGGGAGGGCCGCAGGGGATGGGAGAGGCCCCATGGGGTGCCGCAATGCTCCCCAGAGAGCAGAGGGGGAGGGCGGGCTCCCTTGTTTTTGGGAGCTGCGCGGAGAGGGGATGCTGCCCAGGTAGGGTTGGAGACGGCGGGGGGGGGCTGGCTGCACCCCCCCGGGAACAGCCCAGCCTGGTTCCTCCGGCGCCCGCGGGCGGAAGCAGCAGGAGGAGGAGCTGCAGCAGCTGCTTGGGCTCAAGCCCCCCCCCCAGTCGCCCCAGCCCCGAGGCCAGGCTGGAAACCGCTGCCCTTGGCTCCATGTGGCGCAGAGAGGCGATGGGCAAAGGGAGGTTGGGGCCAGGGGGCACAGCCTTGCTCCCTGCTCCCAGATTTGGGGTTCCCCCCGTGGGGAGGGGACCTCTGTGCATGTGGGGCTCGGAGCAGAGGGGCTCCTGCCCCCATAGCACCGGCCGATCCGAGCCCCATGGCACCCAGCACGATGCAGCAGCACCCAGGACCGCCTGCCCTGCACCCTATGCTGCTGCTTTGTGTGGCTCTCACTGGTGGGAGGGGGCTCCTGGGCACAGCTCCCCCGGCTGTGGTTGGGGGGCTGGCGGGCGAGCGCTGTGCTTCCCTCCTCGCCCGTCCTTGCAGGGCACTCCTCCAACAGCCGCATCGTGTGGGAGCACACGCGGGGCCGCTACACCTGCATGCAGTGCCCCTACTCCACCGCCTCGCGGGAGGAGATGACCCTGCACATCGAGGACCACCGCAAGAACCCCCCGCCGCCCGCGCGCCTGGACGCAGAGATGGGTACGGCTTGGGGGGTGGCCGGAGGGACCTCGGCTGCCAGGATACTCACGGGGAGTGGGCTCGGCCTGCCCTGCATGGCCAACACGTACCCCCTTCCCTCTGTCCTGGAGCAGGGGGTGACAGGCCGCTGTAGTGAGCACCAGGCTCCAGCTCCTGGCTCCCCAGCCTGCAATGATGCCCTGGGCAGTCCGTGTGCCCCCCATGCCCCCTCCACTGGGTGCCAGCCCCCAGGCAGCCTCCCATGGGAACTGGGATGCAAGGGGATCGGCTGCGATGCTGACAGCTCTCTTCCTTCTCCCTCCAGATTTTGGGGTGGGCATCACCTCCTTCCATGCCAAGCTGACGCCGGAGATGGAGAACTCCGTGTACTCCCAGCTCTGATGGCCCTGGCTCCCACGGGACTGCTCCTGCGCCTCCCCATCCCTCCCCCGGCCGGGCAGGGGGGCACCGCACAGCCCCGTGCCACCGCGCTGGGACAGGGGCCCCTTCCTGGGTACCGGGAGCATCCCCCAGCATGGGGTGGCAGAGCAAGGGGTGTTTTTTTTTCTCTTGAATTTCTAGCCTCCCTTTTATTTTCGGAAACTCTAAGCCCCTGGAACCCTGCATCTCCCTCCCCTAAAGGTTTCGTTGCTTCAGCTCCAGGGGCTCTGGGGTGAGCCTAGTAGGTTGCTCAGGAGTTAGTGGACTTCTCTGGATTGAGGTCTTGAAATAATAAATGGGAATTGTACAGGAGCGGCAGCCAGGAAAGCCTCTGTCGGTCCCTGCGGCGGCTGGGGGCGATGGGGGAGTGCCGCCCCGAAGGATGGCCCCCACCCAAAGGAGGGGGCAAGTTGGGGGGTGCAGGGTGTGCGTCAACACATCCCAAACCATGAATGGCTCCCGAGAAGCAGAGTTGGAGCTTCCCCAGCTTGGGCACCCAAACCAGGGAGGACCTCAGCACCCTTCTCCAGCACCTGGCTGGCCTCGGTGGCTGTCCCCACCCCACCACTGCCAGAGGTGCCAGGAGGCGACTTGGCACCAGGCAGCAAGTGGAGAACAGGCCCCTGCTCCACCCCAACGGCTCTTCCGTGCCCTGGTCCACAGCCCTGGGGGCTGCACAACCCCCTGCACCCCCTCCGTGGGAGCTCAGCAGCCGCGCATTCTCACCCCAGGGTTCCCCGAGTCCCGCTTTGCCTGTGCAGGCGCCGGCCCCATCCCAGTGAGGTGAAAAGTTTGCTCCAAACTGGTTTGAGTGAAGGCATGCTGCCGCATGCCAGCCCATGCTGCCTCGCTGGCCAGGCGCCAGCCACTGACGGAGCAAAGGACAGGAGCGCCGGCACCCTGCTGCTCCGCACCCTGCGGTTGGGTGCTGCCACCAACCCCGGGAGGGGACACAAACCCCAGGGGAATTATTTTTTCCCCACACTTCAGCCCTGGCTCTCACCTGTGGAGCTGCCCCTTTCCCAGGCACATTCACCCCAGAACACAGGTCCCGGGGAGGGGGGGCTTCCCCCTCCCACCTCCCCTGCCCAGCCCTGCCTGTTTCTGGCAGCAATAATCACGCAGCCTCCCGTGCGTACGCCAAGCAGGGGGGCACCGAGCAGAGCCCCAGCGTCCGCAGCTGGGCCCCGTGATGGAGGCGCAGGAGGGGCCGACGGCAGCGTGGCCGGGGCACATGTGCCTTCCTCCTGCTGCAATCCCTGCACACGGGCGGGCAGCATCACGGACCAACGTGGTTCACTCCTGCCTGCAGCCCTGCGTTGGGCAGCCTCTCCATGATGCCTTCTCCAGCCCACTGGTGGGGACTGGGCCCTGGGAGAGTCACCAGCCAGAGGCAACACTGGCCCTGGACAAGGATGGAGAGAAACCAGGGGAAGCAGAAAGCCAGCTGGACGGACAGACTGGGCCGGACAGACCAAGCTGCAGCTCCAGTGCCACTGCCTCCATGCACAGGAGCGAGTGGGAGGGCCCCGCAGCCCTGTGTCTGGGTGGGGAGGGGGCGGCGAGGCTGTATTTGAAGGGGGGGGTCCCTCACCCAGGGTGGGAGGGCTGGGCAGGCAGGGGTGGCAGCCCCTCCCAAGCCAGCAGTGGGGAGCAGGCCTGGGAGCGGCCACAGCGCTGTTCTGCCTCCCAGCTCTGGTCCACGCAGGGCCCCCCGCCATCCAGCACGGACCCCCGCTCACCCCAGGCAGGAGGACAGACCTGCTGAAGTGAGAAGCCTGAGCTGAAGCCCCTGGCTGCTGAGACCCGATGGAGCCACAACTCGTTACAGAGCCAGAGCAGGACCATGCAGCCCCAGCAGGACGAGGGACCCCTCCGACCCCCAGCGCGGGGGGAGCACCATGGCATCGGGCACAGCTCGGACCCCCCAGCCCCAGGCAGCTGCCCTGACCCCCCAGCCCAGCCCGCAGTGGGGTTCCTCCTCCCTGCCTTGCATTGATACCTGAACACCGTTTCCTCCTCCAGGGCAGAACGCAGGTGCCTGCCCTAAAACCCGGCAGCGGGACCTTTCCCCAGGCTTCCCCTGAGCCTGCAAGCCTGGCTGCAGCACCTGCAAAGGCAGAAAGAGCAGCACAGCAGGCGCTGCCCCTTCCCGTGCAGGTCCTGCAGATGCATTCGTGCCAGGACTCAGCTGCATCAGGATGGTCTGTGCCACTCCACACCACACCAGAGCCCCCGCTCCGACCCCATCCCCACCCCACCAGCAGCCCTGCCGCTCCCAAATCAGCCCCACCAGCCGAGCTGCACTTACCGAGCATCCACCCAGCCAGGGCTGAGAGCAAAGCCAGGCCATGCTGGGGGCACGACAGCCACCGCTCCCAGAAGAGACTCAAGAAAAACCGCCCCGACACTTCCACCAAGTGTTCCTGCAGGCTGGCTGCAGCTCGGATGGTCCTAGAGCAGAGGCAGCGAAGACAACGTTCATTGCAATGGATTTTTAAAAACTGAAGTCTTTATTAAAAGTTTTATCCAAATTTTGTAACAAAAGATACAAAAGGGCTGGAGATCCTTATTTCTGGGACTAGTCTGACCAATCAAAACCTGACAGTTACTAGGCTAATATAAAATCCATACAATCTGCTAAAAATGCAGGGAAAAATTAGAAGTAACTGCTGCTCTGAAATTTCTTTTAAAAATTCCTTTAACATTTATAAGTTACTCAGTTTGCATTTTACAGGACTAGTTCTTCTCCAAACGGTTACAGCTACTGTACAATGCAAGAGACAACAGCAAGAACAGAACAAAGCAACAGAAACTCGGATGTGCTGCAACACACACCACTCCTCTGAAGGAACCGCTGCGAGTCTCACCTCCGAGCGCCGGGTGCCGACAGATTGCCCAGAGCAACCACTGGGAACGCCACAAAGTGCCAGTGCGTCTGCACCCGCGGAGAGCCTCAACAGCGGGAGGAACAGCAGTTACTCCCGCCCCAGCACCGAGCAGTTACCATCCCTTGGATGCCACGGGGTCAGTTCTCCCCAGAAGCTAACGGCTGGGCCAGCTGAACACCTCCAGGCAGAGGAAGGGTGGGCAAGGGGGCAGAAACCCTCCGGCGGAGAGCTACGCCTGCCTGAATTCCCCCTTTCCTCCTTCCAGCCACGGCGGGGTGGGGGGACACGTGCTGTGCGGCACCCTCTGCGCTCCCGCAGAGCACAAACACGGGTGGGAGAGAGCTGGATTTCTGATCAATGCACTTCTCTTCACGCTGAAAAGGAAAGAGGAGGAGGATGCGTACACCAGGCTAGCGCCGAGACAACTGTCCAGAGCTGGTACTGGCTAGCAGAAGGACCCTGAGAATATATAGGCTAACACGGTCTCCCGGGGAACGCCGAGTTAGGTGCATCACAGTGATACTGGTTGAACGTGTTCTGTACAGTGTGAAATGGAGTTTGACAGAAGTGCAGTATCCCTTCACCTGCTATTTCCTATCTCTTCCTAAAGGCAGAGGCTGCTACGGGGTGACGAGAAGCGTCATCACGGCAAAGACGCTCACAGCCGCAAAAATCAGACTTACTGGGACATCCAAGTGAAAGCTATTAAGTGGCCACCGGGAAAAATATTCCAGTTGATAAAAAAATAGGAAAGCAAGTGCAGGGCTACTGCAAGGTGCATCGTCAGAGGTACCAGGTCTTGCAAGCAGCCAACCCCCCCTCCCCAAGACCCCAGGCACCCCACGTCCCCAGCACTAAAGTATCTTCAAGCATCTCCAGAGACCACATCACCATTATTTCTGATCAGAGAGAGCTCAGTGATCATTCGCTTTGAGTCCATTTAGATGAACCAGATTTGCACCCACTGCTCAAGATGGCTCAAGCGTCTTCAGAAAGCTGGTCTGAGGGCATGCGGATAGCAAACACGCCTTCTTTGCTGTCAGGCAGGGTGGCGAGCTGGAGCTCTGGGTCCAGTGTGGCAAGGCTGATTTCAGACACGAAAGATACCCTAGGAGGAAATTTTTTTCTTTTTTTTTTTTTTTTTTTTTTTTTTGCAAACTGCTGCACAAACCACAGAACGGAGAAAGCCTTTGGTCATGAGATACTTGTGAGAAAGTGAGCCTGGTATGGAAGATTCCCCTGAATGCCTACAGTATTCTACATCTTAAAAAAATATATTGTGGACGCTGCAGCCATACAAAGGGGGGAGGAGTGGGAGATGGGGATTTACAGTCTCACATAGACACAACGGGGAGGTTAAGACAAGCACAGTCATAGTCTGTAAAACTGATTGGCTCGCTTGGATCAGTCATCCTCATCGTCCTCTTCGTCTTCCGGATCTTCCTCTCCTTCATCCTCTAGATTTCGTTTTCTCTTTTCCCCTCGTGGAAGGTCTGCAAAAAGAGGTGAAGCGTGAAGCTCTGTTCAGTCTTGCGGAACAGCATTTGAGCTGTGGCTTCAAGCCGCGTCAGCCACAGCTTGCTGGTGAACAAGCACAGACTGGCACCATTACGGAGCAGAGATCCACCCTGCCCAGTTTCTCATGGCACCCAGAAAAGCCTGCACTAGCACGAGACATTAACTATTTTCTATGCCCTCCAAGCACCCCACATTTCAACAGCTGCCTGAAAACGGGCTTTTTTTGTTGAGCACCCCCAAAACCGCAGCATCTGCAGAATTCAGCCACTTCTGACCAAGCTCATACAAGATAATTTGAAGTCACGCTGCCCGCTATGTTCTGTCAACATTCACTCAGGCGTTTATAGTTTGTTATAACCAAAGGAATCTGAACTCACATCAAGAAGCTCGGCTCTACCTTCCTCTCTACAGCTGAGAGGAGAGAGGAACATGTCTCCAAGAGCATTTCCTCACGCACACTACTAACGTGAGCTTCTGCGACAGAAGCCCTGCTTCAGACTATCAATTCAAGCTTAGAACTGGTTTTCTAGGCAATTTGCCCGTTTAATATTT